ATTATTTATTTGGCTTTAATTTGGCTTAAATCGACTGTTCCTGGTAGTTTAACTAAATTCCTAATCCCAACCCTGTTAAAGGTAGGTCATGCTCCTAGTCACTCTTCCTTCTCCTAGCCAAAAAGAAATTCTTTGAGTTTCAAAAAGGCAGAACAAAGGAGGAGTGGGGGGAATTGGACCATAAATTCCAAACTGCTGGCTGAGGGGGAGCTTAAAGGCAACTTGCATACTGCACTGGCTCCATCTAAAAAGTGAACCTGGCCTCAACATCATCAGCCATGTGAATTTGGGACATTAATAACATCTTACAAGTTTGGAACTACTCACAAGAACTTGATGCACAGCCTTGAAGAAGATTTGAAAGCTCGCTGTTTGTTTTTTTATTTTATATTCTTAATAGTTGCTTAAAGGTATCACCTGTTCCTGCATTTGTATTTTTTCCACAACCATGCAGCCTTTCCCTGATTTTTCCATGTTCAAGTAATATCCTCAACCATTGTCTGCTATTAATATAAGGGGTAGCTGTCAGTCTAAGTAAATGCAGGTATTCTGGGTTGGTAGAAGAAGTCCTAGATTGTTTACTTGTAGAGGCAGAAGTATATTATACATTATACATTTATCTTAGCAGAGCATCGTGACTACTGCACTCTGAGAATATTCAGATTCATGTTGCCATAGCTTCTGTGTCAGCCTGCTCTGACATTATGCCCCTCAGATAAGCTTCCCTCATCTCTAGCCAACTTGGCCACTGCCAATAGTTGTAATCTGGGATGTGCCCACCCTCTGATTTTTCTTAATAGAAAGGCAGAGGAAGCATGCCAGGGTGGGCTACGTATTTGGAGAAGCTTCAAATACTAGCATTCAAGGAACATAAACTTCACCTCCTCATCATTGGCATGAATTACAAGTACAGTATGGAAAAAGTGCTAGTGGTAGAGGTGGGAGCCCATAAAGCAAGAATTCAGAGGCTGGCTGTGTGTTAGATGTTTTCTACTGTTTTCATTTGCCAAGCAAGGTTTGAATTTAAGCAAAGATTTGAATCTGGATCTCTCAGGCCTATTCCCAATATTCTTAACTGTACTGCAGCATGTAAACTAATAAAACATGATGGTCTCTGTTTTATTTTCTTAAAAGGCATTTTACTCTTCCTAATATGTTTTCTTTTATGTTTGGGATTACTAATACCTACCTTGAATCCTCCCTACCAAAATTATGGTGGATAGCTTTATAGATGTCTATAGTGTGTATACACACTTTAGGATCATGAAAGGGAGAAGAAACTGAATAAAAAGTTCAAGATTTAATTTTCAACAGTAGTTTTGTTGCTGCTATCTGATTCAAAACAGGAAGAATGCTTTGAAAACAATAGGCCTATTTAGGCATTTTATAAGCATGCATCCTTCACACACAGTGAGTGAGTGCACTAATATCACCCCTCCATCATGGTTTTCACAAAACAAAAGTGACTGTCTGAAGAGGAGGAGATTGTTGTATCCATATAGGCCCGCCACATGAGCCAGAACTCTGATTTTGGATGTGCTTTGTGTCTCACATGGAAACCCTGTATGGATACAACAGCCTCCCCGACTTTTGATAGACACTTTTGTGCGATTATAAATGCAGCAAAAAGGGGCAGACTAGTTGCTCCCAGAGCTGGCTAGATAGCTCAGATGTTTAGGTATCTGGCTGGAGCCAGAGGTTGGGAGTTTGATTCCCCATTGTTCCTTTTACAAGTAGAACCAGCCTGTGTGGTCTTGGGCAAGCTGCACATTCTGGGTGACCCCAGAAGAAGGGAATACAAAACCACTTCTGAGTACTCTCTATGTGAATACCCCAGAAAGGGTCAGCATAAGTCAGAATTGACTTGATGGCACATAATTAGTAGTATGCTCCCATCATTGCATGTGCTGTGCACACACTTTTGGCTTGACTGAATAGAGCTAATAAAGCCTATTTGTCGTCGTTTAGTCGTGTCCGACTCTTCATGACCCCATGGACCAGAGCACGCCAGGCCCTCCTATCTTCCACTGCCTCCTGGAGTTGTGTCAATTTCATGTTGGTTGCTTCGCAGACACTGTCCAGCCATCTCATCTTCTGTCATCCCCTACTCCTCTTGCCGTCACACTTTCCTAACATCAAGGTCTTTTCCAAGGAGTCTTCTCTTCTCATGAGATGGCCAAAGTATTGAAGCCTCAGCTTCAGGATCTGTCCTTCCAGTGATAAAGCCTATTACATTTTCTATAAATACAGATTCCATCTACTGATTACATGGAGGAGGACTAGGTACTTCCATTATGACACAGAATACTTTTAGTACTGTATCCCTTATCTTTAGATAAAGAAAAGTATAGAGAAACAAATGTGGACTGCAGATATTTGTCATCCTGGTGTCACTTTTTTGTATAAGAAAAGCTTCTAGAAAGCTGTATCTGTTGCAATCCATTTTGTACTGAGACTTCACCACATGATCCTTCCTTTAAGCACAATAAAGTGGAAATGAATTAACTTATAAAAGCATGTATCTAAACTCTGGACTAGGAAGTTATGTAGGAAGTATTGGAGATACATGAAGAATGAGTATATGAATTGATGGAGTTTCAGGCCATCAGTCACTGCTAGTCAAAATAGTTACCTATCACCTTTGCTATCGAAGGCCATGCTGCCTCTGTGCATTAGTTGCTGGGGAATGTGTAATGGAGGGTCCAGTTGCATTTATTTCTTGCTGGTGTGAGTATTCTAGAAGGCTAATGTGTTTGATGACACTGTTGGACTAGAAAGACCTTCGGTATAAACCAAACATGATTCTTTAGTGCTCTATGTTGGAACATAATATGAATCCTTCTCTGTTGGTATTCCGAATAGCTACCAAAACTGGCTACCCAATCCGGTAATAAAAGCAGTGAGTGGTCATGATGGTCTGGGACTGATTTATAGTGTGGGGCCTTGATCATTAAATTCTGAGTCGTATTGATGTAATTCCATAGTCAGCATCCAATCATGAATGTCTGCTGGGTCCTGTTGCTTATGCCATCATTGACAGTTCCACCAGGCACTCTAAAAACTAGCTCAAGTGGGCTGAAAAATCTTCTACAGCAGGTGCTTTGGCATTATGGAGGGGTGCATCTTAAGGGGGAGAGAAGGAAATTCCAGTTGAGAGCTTCAAAGCATGCTCTTGGAACTTGGCCTATGTAGTGAAGAACCAATGTTAAGCCAATACTTGTGGATTATCAAACTGATAGCAAAAGAGGTGATTAGGTAAAGCTAGATTTGCCTTTTAATTCAATTCTGCTAATTATATGTGTATACGTTTTTCATTAGGAATGAGGGTTCCTCAGAATGTTCTCCATTGTATTAAATTTCTTTTAAATGCCATAAATTTCATTCCAGCTCATGGTGACCTAATAAATTAAGGGCCTCCAAAAGGTCTCATGATTAATAGCCCTGCCTAGTATTTGCTTACTAAATGCTGTGGCTTCCTTTATTGAGGTTCATCTATCTCATATTATGTCTTTGTCTTTTCCTACTACCTTCCCCTTTTCCTAATGCTATTTGCATTTCCAGCAACTTATCTTCTCATAGTACATAAAAAGTACTGTCACATCAGTTCAGTTATTTTAGCTACTAGTGAGATTTCAAACTTGATTTGACCTGGAACACACTTACCGGTACTGTACTTGTATTTCTGGCAGTCTGCAAGATCTGTAAAGATTTCTTTGAATACCACGTTTCAGATGAATGAATTTGCTTTTTCATAGAAAAGAAAGTAACATTTAAGCTCTTGTTAGTACTAAGCAGAAGGAGACAATAGCAAAGCAATTTCTGTATATTTAGGTCTTGAAAACTCTATGATGAAATAATATGAAATGATAGTATACAAGTAGTAGAAATCCACCCTGTCCCACTCCCTCTTCCTTTCATCCTGCTCTTCCCTTCCCCATCTGGTCTTATTACAATTGTGTTATGCTATGTTTAGTAGCTTGATTGCAAATAATAGAATATTAGAATATCGTTTTGCTTACACATTTTACTTTTTAGTCCTGTGCTTAGATACTCACTTCAAAACTGAAAACGGCACAGAATATTATACCCAGTGACCCATGACTTTAGAAATTTGGAAGATCTTTTTATTCACTGATTTGGAATAAATAAAAGATGAAGAATCACATTTTCAGAAATAGAATTATATGTACAGCAAATGTATATCATTTCTGTCTATGCTTGTGAGTGTTTCAGCTCTTAAGACCTGGAAACAAGTACTTTGTAGACATAGAACAAGTTTGTTTTTTTATATACGTATTTGGCTTTTTAAAATATGTCTATATAATGCTCTTTCACTCCTCTTTTGTATTTATTTCTGTGTACCTATTTCTGTTTGTTTGCATTAGTCATTCTCTAGGTAAATTATAGGGATGTGGTGGCACTGCGGGTTAAACTGCAGAAGCCTCTGTGCTGCAAGGTCAGAAGACCAGCAGTCATAAGATCGAATCCACGTGACAGAGTGAGCTCCCGTCACTTGTCCCAGTTCCTGCCAACCTAGCAGTTCAAAAGCATGGGAAGGTGGGAAGGTAACGGGATTCCATGTCTATTTGTGCTGACCATGTGACCATGGAAACTGTCTTCTGACAAACGCTGGCTCTGTGACTTGGAAACAGGGATGAGCACTGCACCCTAGAGTCGGACATGACTGGACTAAATGTCAAGGGGAACTTTTACCTTACCTAGGCAAATTGTCCATAAGAACAATGATTCTATCAGCAAATTATCCAGAAAATGCTGTCAGTGCAGATTGTGACATTTGTGCCACTGGTGCATTTGCTGCTGTTCCAGTGGTCTAATTAACCTGGCAGCAATCTCTTGTGGCCAGTGCTGTTTCCTTTGTTTGTTTTCTTGGCACTATAGTTCAGGCCTTTATATTTTCCATACACCTTAAAATAGATCTCGTATTTACTATTGATTCCCCCCATTCTTCCCCCCCCTCCCTTCTTTTTGTTGATTGGCAGTATCATCCAGACAAACAGAGCACAGATGTGCCAGCAGGAGAAGTGGAGGCGCGCATGCAGAGGTTCATCGAAATTGATCGAGCGTGGAAAATTCTAGGGAATGAAGAGACAAAAAAAGAGTATGACCTGCAGCGGAGAGGTAGGTTCCTGCCGAGGAGTGCTGTAGTAGTAGCAGCAGCAGCTCTTGAGAGCAAAAGCTGGAGAGGTAGATCAGTGGTGTTTTTTCAAAATGCTTTTCTACTGAAACAACTAATTTGCTATTATCTTGCTTCCATATATAGATATATTATTTATACTGATTATTACTCATCCATTAGGCAGTAAAAACACTTGATAATTTTTGACAAAGCATTAGGTGGTAGCTGTTCTGCTAATTCAAATGAATGTAGGATTTAGATAATAATGACTTCATTTAGCCAATCTTAATTTGGCAAAACTTAAAGCAGTTTCATTAAATGTTCTTAGTTTCTTGAGTTATGTTCTTTGTTATATTCAGTTACTTCATTTTAGATAGAGATTTTTAATTTATATTAAAGGTATACAATAGCAGTAGGTTGTAGAAACACTCCATGATCAGGCATCATTTTTCAGTACTGTTCATAATGCATCTGTCCTAATCCTAAGGAAGCAATTTATAAATAATACTTCAGTAAACCACATTAACCAGGCAATTCCAGCATGCATTTCTCTCTCTCTCTCCCCCCCCCCCTCTTTTTAAATACATCTCAGAAAATAGCATCTTAAAACAGTGACAGGCTGTTGTGAGAAAGAAAGGAGGAAATGTAGGTCAGGTCTGTCACACATGGGCTACCATTACATGAAGTGATAGGCTGTCTTTCTGCTCTGGCCTCGGGATAGGAGTCCCTCAGCCTTCCATTAGAACCTTCAATAAATGTATATCCACCCTACATGTTAATGGGGGGAGTCAATAATAGCGTATTGCCTGTGGGGAAAACACTCAGTTGCACTCTGCAGTAACACACTCTGGTCCAGCATTGACGTGTAGCTACCATCACTTTTCAGTGTGTTTGATAAAAGCTCACTGTCTCTGCAGCATGTTATTGAATTCCCTTCCATTGTATGTTGGCACACCATCAAATCTTTTTCTCTTGCTGTTTAAACTTCCCTGCTGCTAAGGTTGCAACAATTTTATCTGAGAAACAAAAGCTTAGTCAGCATGGCTGCCAAATATGCATAATTAAGTAAAGAATACACTGAGTAGACAAACTTATTTTTGACCATGAATTATTGGATGTTTATATTTCTTCTTAAAATATGCTGCTGAGGCTATTGGCTACTGGGTATAAAATTTTTAAAGAGCAGAATTGTTTTTAAATTAGTTGTATTGCTTTTGGCTTAATAAAAATGAGACATTCTTACATAGAAAATGAATAATAAAAACTGATGGTTTAGAAAATGTTTCTGTTGTATAAAAAGGGGAAACGTTTTGTTTTACTTGTCTTACTTTGAGTTGGAACAAATAACTTAGCATAAAAATTCATCCCGTTGATTAACTTTCACATTCTTACAACAATGAACAATCTTGATTTTCATTTTTGTGTGTGAAAAGCTATACAGATATGCTTTTAAAATTTGTTAGAGCTGACCTACTTGTACTAGCAGAATGGATGAACACTTATTTTCTTTGAAATTCTAATGAGATGCATAATAGCACTGCCCCATGTAATGTTTGTTGCAATCACTTGGGTGTTTGAAAGGCTTCATATGAGACACACCTTTTTGTTTTAGCTAAATTTGATGTATTAACTGTTTGCTGTTGTAAGGAAAAGTCTTTTAGAGGTATTGAGTGGCTTGTCTTAGTTTCCCCCCCCCCCAATTCCTTAAAATTCCATGCCAACATGTGGGATTTGCCCACATTCAGAAGAATGTTCTCTTGGCTACTCTTTATATGCCAAAATACAACTGAATAGTTCAATAGATTTAGCACTCTACTCAAATGAGATCTGAGTGAGCCAACTTTGATCACAGATTTCTTTTTTTAATCATTGTTTCAAATGATTCATTAGTAATAACGAATAGACATTAGTACAATATTAGCAAACTGGGTAATTTCAGACTTCTGTTAACCAACAACTTTATCATATTCTTAAGCACAACTTAAGGCGGAAGTCAGAGGAGCTCTGCTCTTGCTGTTATGAAAGTAATTATTTTTTGGAGAATTCCCCTTGGATGTACAGTATGTGTGAGACCACTACATATTTATTGTGTTGTAGGCTGGGTGGTGTGTGAATAGCACAAATATACATAATAATTTAGTTGAAGGTATTCTTGTGAGTTCACTTTCTAGATCAAATACAAACCAAAATTAAGACTGTGATTAATGTTTGTTTCACTTTCAACAAGCAAAGGGTGCCTCATTTCTTTTCTTGTGCTTGGGAAGTTTTTATCCCAGCAGTAACTCTGTGAATCTGTAGCCACTACACACACTGACTCGCTAGTTAAGTTTCTGCATGATCTACCAATGTATTTTAGATGCACAAGGCAAAGAGAATGAACACTTGCTAATAATCTATGTGAGGGAGGTAAAGAAAGAGTCACTAGACCAAGCTTTGTGGCCAATTTGGGATTAGAATAGAAGTCTCCTCAATTCTAAACAATGTATTAGATATTGCAGTACAAATTCTTATGGGTTAATGTGTCATTAATAATTTCTGTTCACTAAAAGTAGAAGCTGGAGAGGAACCCCCTGCACTTTTATTCAGCTCCACTGTACTTGATCCTGGAGGACCTATACATCCCTCATGAAACTGCCTAATCCCCTTTCAAAGCTTCCTGAGCTGGTGGCTATTAATATCTTGAGGAAACAAAGGTCTTGGTGTATATATTCAGTTCTTGAAAAAACAAAATTATCTGGTTTATTAATGTGGGAAATTGTGCTTCTGTAACCACAATTGGGAATGCCAGAAAATGGCTGATATTGCTGCATGATACCATGCTCGCATTGCCAGCAGGGAAAAGGATCCAAGCTTTAAATCGCAAAGGGCAGCCTGAATTTTGACAGCACCAATGTCAGCAGTCAAGATGGTCCATAGGATACCCTCTTGTGCTCACTACCATTCATATTTGTCAAAAAACACACTATATGTGTTTGATTGAGAAGTGTTTGATTAAAAAAAGAGTCAGCTTCTGGGATTTTCTCTTGCATGGTATCACTTTATGACTGTCTTGACTGCTGCCATTGGTGTTATCAGTATTCAGACTGCTCTTTCCTGGGCAAAGTTTAGCATTCTTTTTCCTGTTGACAACATGGCTATAATATTGTGCAGCAATATCAGGCGATTGCCTGACATTTTGAATTGTGGATACAGAAGCACAATAGCCCACATTCATAAACCTGAAGTTTTTAGGAAGAACTGAATTTCCTGTTTTTTTAAAAAAATGGAAGTTTAAGTATATATACACTACAAACACATTCCAAAAGAACCTTCCGTCTTGTAGAATGAAAAAACATAGCTTTGACTATGTGGACCTTTGTCGGCATGGTGATGTCGTTGCTTTTTAAGATGCTGTCTAGGTTTGTCATCGCTTTCCTCCAAAGAAGCAGGCATTTTTTAATTTTCATGGCTGCTCTCCCCATCTGCAGTGATCATGGAGCCCAAGAAAGTAAAATCTGTCACTGCCTCCATATCTTCCCCTTCTATTTGCCAGGAGGTTATGAGACCAGAGGCCATGATCCTTTTTTTTATGTTGAGCTACAGACCATTTTTTGCATTTTTTGCACTCTCCTCTTTCACACTCATTACAAGGTTCTTTAGTTCCTCCTCACTTTCTGCCATCAGAGTGGTATCATCAGCATATCGGAGGTTGTTGATATTTATTCCAGAAATCTTAATTCCGGCTTGGGGTTCATCCAGTCTGGCCTTTCGCATGATGTATTCTGCATATAAGTTAAATAAGCTGGAGACAATATACAGCCTTGCTGTACTCCTTTCCCAAATTTGAACCAATCAGTTGTTCCATATCCAGTTCTAACTATTGTTTCCTGTCCCACATGTAGGTTTCTCAGGAGATAGATAAGGTGGTCAGGCACTCCCATTTCTTTAAGAACTTGCCATAGTTTGCTGCGGTTGACACAGTCAAAGGCTTTGGCATAGTCAATGAAGCAGAAGTAGATGTTTTTCTGGAACTCTCTGGCTTTCTCCATAATCCAGCACATGTTAGCAATTTGGTCTCTAGTTCCTCTGCCCCTTCAAAATCCACCTTGCATTTCTGGGAGTTCTCGGTCCATATATTGCTGAAGCCTACCTTGTAGGATTTTGAGCATAACCTTGCTAGCGTGTGAAATGAGTGCAACTGTACAGTAGTTGGAGCATTCTTTGTCACTGCCCTTCATTGCGACTGAGATGTAGACTGATCTTTTCTAGTCCTCCGGCCACCACACTATCTGGGCTGTCTGGGACATCTAGATCTTCCTGGTATAATTCCTCTGTGTATTCTTGCC